TCGACATTATGTAAGCAACTTTGTTTAATACATATATATACATATATATATAAATTTTTAAATAGCTGACAACGCTTTTTAAAATGATTACCTCTGGTTAAGAGCCCATTTAAATGCCTTTCATTCCCTGAATGCGTTGTAATATTTAGTCGATATGTGTTTAAATCCCAAAAATTTGAAGCGGGTGTGGCTATTAAAAAATGTTTTATTTGCCCTCAAGCGGTGAAGCTGTCCTTCAAATGGTTTTTTAATCATTCAATTTTAATGAAGTATTATGGAAGATATGGGGCTTTATTGACCGGATACAATGCTTTCAGGTTTTTAAAATCCCCTTTTTTTTAATAAATTACTAAATTTGAACGACGTGACTATTTTTCGCATGTACGTGAGCTTCCAACCTTCAAAATTCATTAAATTTGATAAAATATTAAAGGAGATATCATTTGGACACAGAAAAATACCTTTTAGAAATAAGTATGTACATATCAAGGCACATTAAACAGGTAGTATCAGTAGAGCAAAAACAACATTTGCGTGTATTTTGTTGTTGCTTCTGGTATCGAAAGTGTCAACAACTGTTCTGAATTTTTTCTTCTAAATCAAAGCGTGCCATGTGAAATACAAAAAATTATAAAAAATAAAAAATTGAAATTGAAAAAAATAAAAATTGATGCAACTTTCTTTCCTAGTAAATTTGTTTGCTTCTCGAAGCATTGATCCATCCTTTGCAAGGCCCAGTAATCAGCGGTCGTGCTGCCGAGTTGGGCGAACGTTCCAAAAGCTGCTATTCAATCGCTTGTTTTGTATAGAAAGAGGTTTCATAAGCAAATGGATTTTAACAACTTATAATTTTCGTGAGAAAAAATTAAAAATATTTGACATTTTCGAGACCAAATAATTTGAAAATAAATCAAATCAGCTGCTCTACTGATACTACCTGTTCAATGTACCTTGGTACATATATAGAAGAGCTGTAAAATGATTGAATCAGTAGGATCTGCATTCACTCGGCACTCTTTTCAAAATTTTGATTTTTGGTTGTATAAAAAAAAACTCATTCCTGAGTGGCTTAAATTATTTTGAAACATAAACAAACGTAATGTGTTATTGAATGGTAGAGTTCCCTTCAGTATAGAATGTGAATGCAACAAAAGTATTCGCAATCATCGTGATTGCAAATTTTGGTTGAATGCAAACACTTTTGATCATTCAATTCTACAGTGAAAAAATATGCCTTGACACTAGAAGAAAATCTTTATAGGAGAAAATAGTCGTTTTGCTTCTGCTTTTCTACCAGTGCTACAATTTGGTAAAGCATTACTTATGACCAAAAGTACGTACGAACTTTAGAAATTCAGTCAATGCTTGTTAAAACCAACTTCATGTTTTTGAAGGAAACTTGCGGTCAATTTTATGTAACGAACTACATTTTTATTTGTACAAAGAGATGTTTTTATTTCCCAATACCAGGCGCTCATACATATGAAATAGCAAGCTTTCTATACGTATACATTTGTTTATAGAACTTTTAAATTAATGTTTTTTTGTAGAAGCCTTTGAACTTTACAAAGTAGAATTGGAAATTTAAAAATTTATACAATTTTGTACGTAGAAATAGAACCCAGTAGCGAAAATGGTCACTGGTGACATCGTCACTAATGAGGATTTGGTGACATCGTCGCTCTTGCTGTGAATCCTAAGCGACATATAGATGACAATGACACTGGTGACAATGTCATGCAGGTGTACTCCTATCAAAGACTTATAACAGACAATGACCCTCATTGTGAGAGTCGTGTCGAATGCAAGTCGTTTTTCGAGAGTCGAATCGTATCGAAAATTTCACGGCATTGCCTAAAATTTCCACTCTACTAGTGTATTAAAACGGAAAACCTTGGCAGCACTGTATAGTTTTCGACGCTTTTGGTCGTTTTTTTATTTCAGTACGACAATAGACAATGCTGCTGTTGTCGAGTCGTACAATTAACCTAATTAACGACTTACGCAATGAGGCTGAATGTCTTTCACCATTCACTTTTAAAAAGTTCATTGCAGGACATTGTCGCTTGAATATCATCAATGATCACTGCATGACAAAGTCATGCAGATGCGTTCAACGACTAAATTACCATTTGTATGAAAAAGTCATGAACGACTTTCATATAAACGGAGCCCAAAGTCATTGAAGACTTGATATGGCCGTACAAGACACTTCAGTGACTAATTCATGACATTCGCTACGGTGAAAACTTGTTACTTCACATGTATGAGCGCCTGGTTTTTTTTTTTTTTTGAATGATTGTAGATTGATAAAAATATAAGACACACTACCAGACAAAAGCAAAAGAATAAAATCCTACTTGTAAATATTTTATGATTAAAATTTTAAATGATTTCACAGTTTCACAGCTCTGATATATAGATAATAAATAAACCATTTAAATATACATAAGTTTCAAAGTTTGTCTAAAATTTAGAAAAAATTGTGAAATTTTCATCAAAATTTCAAACTTTTTGTCAGAATTTTTTGGATGCAGTTATGCAGTTATATAAACCATTCAAGCTGCTACAAATTCCGTTGACTTTTGATTTTTTCTGGCGGTGCTTCAAAACTTGTCGGAACACTCATTGTATGGAAGAAAATGCGTGAGACACCAACAAAAAAAAAACATCTTACAAAATTGTTTGTAATTCGACCCTTATGAGCCGTTTTGAGATTTGAATGACCTCAGATACTTTTCTTTCCACCAACATTCCGCCAAAAACGAAAAGATTTCAAGTTTCGAACTTATAATTTCATTTTATTCCATTTCATTTTCTTTGCATTGTTTTATTTTGTAAAACCAAGGTGTATTACATTTTTTGTAAAACTACAAACTTATGACAAATATTTGTGATCAAAATACATACACTGAGAAAAATTGTGTAGAAGCGTGAAAGAAAGGAAAAATGTAGGATTAAGTCGAGGGCACGCCGGACAGTACCTTTGAGATTTCTGCTGTGTAAGGGGTTTTCAGTTTCAATTGAATAATTCTTGTATTGGGGTTGGGCATTCAAATCGAATATAGCCAGCAGAAGTCTATACTGAAGCATATATTAGGAAGTTTTAAGTGTTTTTTGAATGGACCATTAGCACCAAAAGCTCAACTACAGTTAATAGCTCATATAAGTTCTAAGAATTTTAACAGAGGCTAATAGGCAAGGTTTATTTCTTACTTTTTGCTTTTTACTTTCGTTTTCTTCCACTAAACATGAGTAATTACCTCCTTTGAGTTGTAATATGCTTTTTCCAATACGCATAATGCATAACCTGTGGAAATGGACTATATTTATTTTGTATTTAAAAGTAAAATAGATAAATTAAAATTGCTTTTGTTATTTTATGGCCCTATAACAATTACATTCAACAATTTTTATTGCGCTTGAGGCCGTTTTTAATGAAAAACTTATTGTGGAAAAGCAACAATAATTTGAAAATTAGAAGCTATTTCGGAAATCGCATGAGGAAATGTGGTGATTTTCGAAATAGCTATCACTTCTACCATTTTTTCAAATTATTGTTGCTTTTCCACAATAAGTTTTTCATTAAAAACGGCCTCAAGCTCAATAAAAATTGTTGAAGATAAATTAAAATAAAATAAAACTTAAACAAGGATACAAATTATAAAGTTGTCAGAGCCAGAATTGTATGTATTCGCGACCAAAGCGAGGGGAAATGAAAATATATGAAAAATTTTTAAAGAAGGTTCCGGCTTTGCCAGGGTTAAATTGTACTTAAGAAAAGAACAATTTGTCGGCCCTTAGAAGTAAATAATAAAGCAAGGTACAAGGAGTAAATTTGGCATTTTTACAGTTATTACTGGCTTTCCCTTGCCACAGGTTTCAGTAAAAAAGTATTTGAATAATTAAGTCATAGTGCACTAAAAAATTGCCTTTGTTACAAAAAGAAGCGATACTCGCAAAGTAACCCAAAATAGACTTTCATAACCCCATTACTCTGCACTCTATCATATTCGGTTGCCTACTTTTAGGCGCTCAAGCTATATACTAAGAAACAAAGATATGTATGTATGCATGTGTTTAATAATGGATTCACAAAGCATTTTAAAATGTTTTTGATTTTTCGCAAATTCGTTCAAAATTGTATGTATGTATGTATGTAAGTGCGCCTGTTAGCGAGTTATTTTGTATGCACAATATTTTGGGTATTTTTTACGGATTCATTTAATGGTTTTCCGTCGATATAAACTAATTGCTTGTTGGCTTTTTACAATAAAGGCTACGCGCGCTTCAGCTTCTACGCGTTCTATACAAAAATCAGCTTTGTAATTACTAAACGCACAGTGTAACAAAACGTTTTGCAGTTAACATTTTCATAGCATTACCCCAGCAAACACTCTAACGTAAGAGAAACATTTTGATTTTACGTTAGAATTCTAATGTAGTTCTCGAGTCGGAAATCAGGTTAGAGAACTATATTAGAATTCAATTAGAGAATGATTAGAAAAGCACTAAAAATAAGAAACCAATTTAAATACAACGTTGGAAAACGATTAAGGGCCGGTTGTTCAATGTCTGATTAGCACAAATCGGAGGTAGAAGCTCCGGTTAAGCACAACTACTGCTTTATCGATCACATGTTACATGCATGACGTCGAAATCGTCGCTAGTGTAGTGGTAGTGATAACCAGACATTGAACAACCGGCGCTAAATATCTAACCTTTTTCTCGATATTGAGAACTATATTATCGACATTTTCTCTGATCGCCTTCTAACCTTCTACATTAGAATTCGATTCGTTTTCTAATCGTTGTCTAACCTGAAAGTTTGTCGGGACGGTGCAAATTTTGCAAAAAAAAGGAATTCTCCTTTATTTAAGAAAATGAATAAACATAATTGAACGTGCTGAATAATAAGAATTGTTGTTTTCGCTGTTGTCGTTAATAAATTTGGTGTAACTATTTCCAATATTTTACCAATAATAATATTTACCGCCATATCCGCTATCCTATTTATTTATTTTTTTCGTACAGCACTAAATCTTATTTACTTTATAGGGTTTATTGCAGCAGTTATGTTCGTTTATATTTCCCTTGTATGTGTGTGCGCGCGATAATTTATTACTCCTATCCTCTGCGGGAGAAGAAAAAAAGGCATTGTATTGCTTGGAAAAGTAAAAGTAACTAGAAGAATGCGCAAAGCGACAAAAAATATTTACAAATCAAGCTGCATATTGCAACAAATTTGCGTTTACATGAATATATGTATATGTAATAAAAATTATGTATGTATTTAGTGAACATGATTGTTTCTTTATCCGCTATGCATCAGAGTATATGCATGCATTTTGTTTTTATTTTATTTTAGTTTAAGTTTACTGCATACACGATGATTATGTATGTATTATATTGCATAATTATGTGTTATATAGTTGAGTTGAACGCTTCGCCAAAGAAAATATTTATTTTTTGTATTGTTATCTAGTATACCCGATGGAAAAGTTAAACCCAACAATGCTGCATACAAAATTACAAAGTTGGGCCATCCGAATAGTCCTCAAAATCATCACATTCGTCCAGAAAATCTGAAAACAAATCGGGACTGACATCATAGCCCAGCCGCAGTTCAGAATTCTCTATGTCAGCCGCCATTTGACGTAAATTATCCACACCAGCAAGAAGTTGCCTGAACAAAAAGCAAAATATCAACTAATTAATAAATTTAAAAAAAAATGTTTTTCCATTACCTCAGATTATTTTCTGCATTTGATGCAGCCCTAAGCAAATCCCTTGATATTTGTTGTGTTCTGGACGGTCGACCCACAGTGGCACGTACACCAGCACTTGCTCCAGCCGCAGCAGCACCAGCAGCGGAACCACTAGCATCCGTCGCGAATGAACGCGAACGATCACAGCATGTTACATTGAAACCACCTACGGCGCCCTCTTCGCGCAACGTCTCATTTTCGCGTCGCACTGCTTCCAATTCCGACTGTAAGTACATAAAATACAAATATTTACTCACGAGTCCAACTATGTTCATACACTCTTCATAACTTCAACCCACCATCAATTGTGTCACTTGCTGTTTTAGTTTTATAACATAATTTTGGGACGTAGTCGCCCCTGGTGTTGCTGCTGTTCGGGTGCGTTTACTTTTATCTGTTAAACCTTCTACACGCTCATTTGTTGCCACATCTTCTACCTTTTGCTGTTGTTGCTGCTGCTGTTGTTGTAATTCGCGCGTCTGCAGCTGATGCTCCAAGTCATTTGCACGCCGTGTCTGTTCATTCAGTGCAATGCGTGCATCATTCAATTCCCGCTGCAAGCGATCATTTTCGATACGTAGCCTCGATAGCTGCGACGAGATCGGTGGATCGTCTGGCGAACCTATGGAATTTGATGGCAAACCGACAGCCACATCAGCTAGTCGTTGCGAAGAATGTATTATTGGTCCATCCGAGAGGAAATCAGGCAACATTTTTGCATTGCTTGCGGTAGCCTCAGCTGTGGCACCGCCTCCACCAACGCAAGCGCTTACTCCACCATATGCTTGTGAGGGACCGGGTATGCCATTGCCGCCGCTTACATCATTTCCACCAGCCACATCGCAGCCGCCACCATTGCCAACACTGCCGCCGACGGCACCGCCTGCTACATCGACATCACTAAAATCGCGTGTTGGCGAGTTAGGCGGGGAATTGAGATGCATATCATGTGCATACCACGACTCTAGCCAATGATCTTGCACAAAGTCGGGCAGCACAGCGGCGGGGAATTCACCTGCATTGCTGGGTAGTGGACGGGTAACCGGCGGTGCGGCAGCTACAGAGTTACCACCGCACGCGCCGCTACTCATATCACCAAGTGGCAAGTTGACCTTCGATTTGGACGAATTTGTGTTTAAGGCCAGGCGTGTGGGTCGTGCCTCCCTCGTGCCACCACCACTAACACCACTGATGTTTGTAACTGCTGCGCGGCGCCGTGGCGAAGCCGATGTGGACGCCATAGGCATTTCATAATTTGAATACGATCGTGGCACGTATTGGTGTCGATCGTATTCGCCTGTATTACTTGCACCCGTACCGCCATCGCCCATGCCGCGGCTTATACGTGTGGACGACGAGAAGAAATCTGCAATTTATTTTAATAAGAAATATAATATAAATGATGATAAGTAGGCAGTTACCACTGCTCTCTGGGTAGAGTCGAAAACCGGAGCTGGCATTGGCGCCCACACCTACTCCCCTTACTGCACTTGATCCATTGCTACCTATACCCTCTATTTCCGCATCCGCACCCACTGTCACGTATTCTGCCAGACTCGCCTGCGAGTCGAATGAGGAAAATCGTGGTGAACGTTTCATTTTTGTTGCTGATGTGCCATCCTGCTGGCCTACGCCTGCTGTTGCTAACAAGCCACCACTACCGCCGGCTATTAGTGACGATATTGCCGTACTTGACAGCGAAGCTGATTGAGGAACTTTTGGACGTGCGCCAGTCGAAGTTTGATTTGAGGCACCGCTATTGGATGCTGTGGCCTTATTGCTTTGAGAACCGTTCGCGCAATTGGACGCTGTAGAATCTAATGTTGTGACTGTAACAGTGCTCGAAGGCGCTGTTAGCGGCGGTCCGCTGCTCAGAAAGTGTTTGAAAGAAAAAGAAGATGTATTCTGGGTCGGTGCCACATGCGGTTGTGAAACAGACTGTGTAGTGGTGCTGCTGCTGGAAGATTCCCACGTTGAGCCAGCATTTATTTGTTGCGTCGTGGCTGATAAATAGAAAACGGTTAAAAATATGTGATTATACACGCGGCTTTTGCCCCTTACCATTTACTTGAGCTGTTGTTCGCTCGCTTGTGTAATCCCCATAACCACCGTTGTTGTCATTGCCTCCCATCGGCCCGTTGATACAAAGATCAGCTACTAGATCGTTAAGTTTGCCGCGCATAAATGTTGTCGTCGTCGTCGCGAACTGACTGCTTCCAGAGCTGGCACAATCGCCACCGCCTGCGCTGTTGACCTTGCTCTTGTCACCATTTTCCACTGCGCCACCGTCTACTGTCATCTCAGCTGCACAATCTGTCAGCGCATTTGACGCTTCTCCTGCATTCGACGTCAACGTCACACCTACACTTACGGGAAGGGAATCCAAGCTGTTGTTGTTGGTGCCATTGCCACTACAGCTGTTGTTGTTGTTATGTTGCACCTCATCGTTTTCCTTTGCCATAGTTCGTCTTTATTTTTGTGTAACGCTGTGTAGTTTCTGCTACGTTGCTTTGCCTGCCGTTGTCCCGTCTGCAGTTTTTTCTATCAGTTACAATGGTATTCTTCCTCTTTGTTAAGTTTTTACAGCCAGTGCCTGCAATTATGTACATTAACTTGCTCTACTCTTTACGTAGTTCCTTTCCTCATAAGTATATTTTATTATTACACAGCTATGGTAAACAAAATACTGCAATTAGACCGGATTCTTTTTAAAGTTTACAGAAATTTTCAAGAATTGTTAATTTTCCTCAATCTGAAAGGCCCTTCAAGTGGAGTTGCCAGATCTGTCGGTTGCGATGGTTTCTGTGGATTACACCTGGAGAGGTGCCAGACCCGTTTGATGCGATAAATTGCAATTTCAGTGGATTTACAACGGCAGCATTTTCATTTCATTTTTCACGACATTTTTAAGGGGAAAGAATGAAATACATCACACAGCGGCTTTGAAGGTTGCACAAGCCGCTTGAGGCGAATTGGACTAAAATTAAACATTTTTGATTTTCTGGGCGCCACACAGTGTATTACTTCCATATTTTAGAAAATATTAATTAAATTATTTTATATCGCCAAATTTTAAAACAACGTTAAAAATGTTTTTATAAATGCCTGACAAAGACGAAACAATAACAACTACAAAATTTATATCAAAGTGTAGGGCGGGTCGGGTTTGATTTGGAAGATTAGCAAACGCAATAATATTTAAATTTGTAATTGCCAAAATAATATTTGGGTCTTATTTTCTTAGATATGTTCTTTTTAGTGAATATACATTTGAGTAAACTAGGACTGATAATTCATGTTAAGGTAAAACGATGTTAACTTTAATTTAATTTTAACAAATTTATTAATTTCATTAGACCCGCAAACTCGTTATACGCGATTATTCGATAAATTTTGTATCTCAGTTTATTTGCCACTCCACTTAGACTTTAAACAAAACAACTTTAGCTGCTGGAAAGTGCTGGTTTTGATGAAATTTTCCTTTTTCAGGCCTACTAGGAATTTTAGTTCCTTCTTTTGCATTTGATCTCGAGCGAGACACATTTTTGTATTTTCGCTTTTCAACAGAGAAAGCTTGATTCATTACCTTTCCAATGGCAACCCACTTTTGTAAATAGAGCAAGAAATTTGAACTTACAACGGAAGTTTTTGACTTTTTGTCGATATTTGCCACGCCCATAATTAAAAAATATATATTTTTTTAGTCTATTTCTGTTTGTTTATAATTTCTTGTTATAAGGAAATTCTAAATATCAATTTTGGGCGTTTTAGCTTTTGTAGTTAGTTAAATATTTCAGCTTTTGCCTTTTTAAAAATTGCAGTTACATAATAGGGTGGCGTGACAGAACCTCTAATTGACCAATTTTTTGTAAAAATCTTCACCTATTTTATAACGTACTTTGTGCAAAATTTCATTAATCTATCTTCAATAGTTTTCGAATTACAGAATTAAAAGCGGCTATGTGGGTCAAATCTTACACTGTGCGCCATTTGAGAGTTTAATTAAACAATTTGCGTTGCGAAATCGCCTCATTTCCAAAAAAAATTTTCACTGAATAAGGACTTAATATAGAAAAAATAGAAGAAACCAAACTTTTTTTTTTCTTTACATTATGAGTTGGAGAAAACTAAAGTTTCTGCTTACGAGTTGTAACAGCATACAAATTCCCCAAAGAGTTTTTGGGAGGTGTTGCTGGGCTGACAGTCCTTGGCCAGATATAAATCTCGGTCGTTCCGATTACGAAGACCCGACTGTCGTGGAAACGCTTGAACGAGTCATGTTTGCATGGTGTATGGCTAAATAGGAAAAGTAGGTTTGAAGTATGTTTAATAAGCCGCTTATGTGGTGTTTTTCGCTTTGTACACGTCACGCGTTTCATATTACTCCCACTTTTTGAATTGAAACTTCTTAATCGAGTTCGGAGATGTTTGCGTTAAATATTTAACGCCAAGTCTTAAAATGTGTATCGTTCGTTCGATTTTATAAATTTAGGTGTTAGAAAATCGATTTCAAAATTTCTCTGCCGCAGATATTTGCGTTACCGGGACGTTACACATTCAATTTTCCACTTTCAATTTTCAATACACTCACACTTTTTCACTAACACACTCTTATTTATGACTTGAATGGGCAACTTGCTTTCAGTTTTTCTCTTTCAATTGAGTTTCAATTTTGCTTTAAATTTTGTGAAAATAAAAAAATACTAAGCTTCTGCATGCTAAAACGTTAGTCTACAATGAAATTAAAAATGGAAAATGGTCTTCAGAAACATACTGCATATGTTCGCAAAGACTGGATGCAAAAGCAAAAATTTGCTAGTTTGAAATGACCTCCATAATCCGCGGATATGAATCTCGTCGAAAAGGATATATGGGAGGCTATACCTCCAGAATTTTTACAGAGATACAAATAAGGTGTGCCAAATTGCATCCAGGAACTAAAAAAAGCAAAAGTACTGAACGTTGTGTTAACAATTATTTTTTTTCCTGAAAATTGTCAAATAGTTATTAAAAATATATAAGTGCAAAACTGTAATATATGCCTTAATTAACATTTTTGCCTGCTGGTTTTATTATTGTTGTTGGAGTGACTTCAATTCGTTGTGAGAGAGGGAGTAGGGGTGTACCAATGAGAATATACAACAAAAGTCGTTAGAACTTGGAAAGATAGTGGTGGCTGAAATAAAAAGTGTTACACCATGTTACAGTTTTGCTCGTCACTGTATATAAGAACAAAAGTGAAGGGGAACATGTATATGAAGAATATGATAAACATAAAAATAAAAACGAAGATTAATATAAATAAAAAGATGAGGATACCGATAAAAGTATAGATGAAGATAGAGGAAGAAAGATTAAAATAAAGGTAGTTTTAGAGAAAAGGATATAGATACGGCACAGAGACTCAATCTGGGAACTATTTCGGGATTTTAGAGATTTTCGGGATTCTCGGGGCTTATCGATATAATAATCGATATTTTGTCGGTTTGTGATCGATATTTTTATCGATTTTGTTATCGAAATTTTTATCGATATTGTTATTGATTTTGCTATCGATATTTTCGGAACTTATCGATATAACGATCGATATTTTTATTGATTTTGTTATCGACTTTGTTATCGATTTCCTTATCGATTTTGTTATCGATATTTTTATCGATATTTTTATCAGTTTTGTTATCGATATTTTTATCGATTTTTCTATCAATTTTGTTATCGATATTTTTATAGATTTTGCTGTCGATATTTTAATCGATTTTGTCATCGATATTATTATCGCTTTTGTTATCGACATTTTTATCGATTTTGTTACTAATTTTGCTAAAGATATTTTCGGAACTTATGGATATAATGATCGATATTTTTATCGATTTTGTTATCGATATTTTTTATCGATTTTGTTATCGGTTGTTTTATCGATTTTTTACCGATTTTGTTATCGTTTTTGCTATCGATATTATCGATTCTGCTATCGATATTATTATCGATTTTGTTGTCGATATTTTTATCGATTTTGTCATCAATATTTTTATCGGTTTTGTTACCGATATTTTTCCCAATTTTGCTATCGATATTGTTATCGATATTTTTATCGATTTTGTTATCGATATTGATATCGACTTTGTAATCGATTTTATTATCAATTTTGTGACCGATTTTTTGATAGATTTTGTATGGTAGCGGGATAGTGAAATAATAGGTTCTTTCCCTAACAATCCGGACCGGATCCGGTAATTAGAGAATAAGCGAAAAGTTTGCTCTCAAAAATAGAACATAATCCAGAAGTACGGGAACGCAAAAACCACATTTCGTGCCCAGAATTTGGGAAACTGTTGATTCGCGTTGTTTTTGTCTTTGTCACTTAAATGCAAACTCTTGGAAATTGAATTTTTGTTTCACAAATTTGATTTTAAGAATATAAAGATTGAAAATACATTCACTATTCCTTAAAAGCATCAAGTAAATGCAGGCAACATGTAAACACAAAACAGCTGATATGCACTTTGACACTTTATCCATTTTTACCCGGAGAAAAAGTCCGGGCTGTTTCGGGCAGGAAGAAAAAGACACTTACGATCCAATACGTTCCAATTTTCGCTCTCTATTACCCATTTTGTTGAGTACGGGAATTATTTCTGGGCTATTTTGGGCACCCGCGGGATCCGGCGTTGCGTACGGGAAAGAACCCAATATAAAGTGTGCCACAAGGCGACTTAATATAAGGTGATAGCAGGAGAACAAAAACAAAAATTTACATGTATTTTGTTTTTGCTTTGGCGGCATAAACTGCCAAAATCTGTAAGTGTGTGTGTGGAAATTCAAACAAAATTTTTCAATTTGACATTAGAAGCCGTGGGGCGAAACACATACACAAAATCAGCTGATCTAGTAACACCCCCACAAACATATTCTGAGCGCTCAGAATATATGAGTCGGAAAGGAGTCCTAGGTAAGTAAGAAATATGAGCTTCAAAAACAAACATTTTTTTACTCTTATATGAATCTTTTAGGAGTCATATATGATCCAAGTTATGAGCCAGCACTTTGGGTCAATATAAAAACAATAACGACTAGAAATTTATATCTAAACTTGTTTATACAGATATGAAAAATAATTAGGAAGGAAAAATAAACAAAATTTAGCTGCAGCAACTGCTATTACATGAATGCTGCAATATATGTACATATATATGTATGCGCAGAGGTTTGTATATAAATATCCAACAGTATTTGAAATGAATTCCTTGCTAACATGGCTCTAAAGTAAGTTCATTAAGAGAGTTGAAGAATAAAGCCAATAGGAGTCACAGAACAGCATAAGCTCATATAGGTCGACCTTCGCAGGAAGGGAAACACCCTCAATACGGACTCTTAAATGAGCTCATTATGAGCACAAAGGCTCCGAAATGGGACTCCTTAAAGACTCATTTATGACTCCAAATGTTTGCTGGGACCACCTTATATAAATTCGCCTTGGTGTGCCAGATATCAATGACATTCTATTTCAGTACTCTTCAAGGCGAATTTATATAAGGTGGTGTTATTAGCTCAGCTGATTTTGTGTATGTGTTTCGCCACGCGGCTTCCCAGCAAACATTTGGAGTCATAAATGAGTCTTTAAGGAGTCCTATTTCGGAGCCATTACGCTCATAATGAGCTCATTTAAGAGTCCGATATGAGGGTGTATCCCTTCCTCCGAATGTCGACTTATATGAGCTTAAATTCATATATCAAATGAGCCTCAATATGAGCCATATTGGACTCTTATTGGCCTCATATACGGCTCATTTTGGACTCTTTTAAAACAATTTTTT